AGAATACCTTTACGTATTTGTGTCTTGACTCCATACTTTCAATCGTCTGATCGTATTAAGAATTGAAACTGACACATACAGCCTCGTTTTCAAACGCGGAAGTGCGCAGATCGACGTTAAAAGCGTCGTAGTGGGATCCCTCTATTTGCAAGTCCCATAATACTCCAACTCGATTGGCAAAGAGTAGGCCTATGTAAGCAGAATGTGAAACAGAGTGCTATAAAAGCGTCCAACCTAAAAGCAGACACCTACCCATTCTCACCCTATTTCTTTTAAATTTAATTTCTGATTTAAAATTTTAAGCTGTTGAAAAAAGGACATCCCAGTTGGAGGAAACTTGAAAAATAAGTGGTACTAATACCAGTCCAGAAACTCCATTGCTCTTTGCTACTTGACTTAATAATTCAGCGCACCCACACAAGAACATTTACACTTTAGCACTGTCATTTTGCATATGAGAATGGGCAGGGGGAGGGCTAATAAATGGATCGGGATTCTTTTTTTGAATAAGTAGGTTAATTAATATTGTAAGAGCCAGGGGTTGGAATTTCAATCAAAATTTCTTCCGATACCCCCGTAGTGCATTTTTGAACTGAGCTTGCAGGAGTTTTAAGGTTACTCTTTACAGCCATTTTAACGCCAAATTTGTGAAAAATCAAACGTACCGTTCTTGCGTGACGCCCATACGGAGACAGCTCAGCCCAAAAAAATCATGTATTTTGCCACTGCCGAGCCCTTGGCATGCGGGTAATTACACCGTAACAACCTTGAAGTTCAATATGACCGTAACAATAAACCATATGTCTGACCGAGTTCAAACTTTTTGACATTCTGTAATGACGAGTGTTTTTACATGCACGCCAAGTTCAAAAACATCGAGCCCAGCACAGCTGACTTCTTACTTAGGTGGAATTGTTATATTGTAACAATAGACTATTACACACAGAGACTTTACCCCACGTGTGTTGCTTCGACCACAGATTTTATTGGACCAACAAGGTGGTCGTCTGGGGACTATACATATGAAGGGTATACCGTGGGAAGGACTGGAGACAAGGGTTGGTGGGCAGAGGAAGGAATGCAAACAATATTGATGAGGAAACCATGCAGTATGACTATGGAAGGGCTAGAGGGATGGACATCAATCATTACAGAATCCGCCCCGGCTGAGGGGTGGGCTAAAACAATCGGGCTCTTTCACTTTTGTTCGCCAGACCAAGTGAAGTTGTTAAAGCATGTAATTTTTGTTCTGTGCCATAGTCAAAGTGGGCAAAATATTGTTGGGTTTCTAGACAGGATTATGCAGTATTCATTAAATGTAACGCTACGGGTGTTTGTAAGGGATCTAAGACCGCAACTGGATTTCAGTGGCGTTTCCAAAGGAGTGGTACAAACACCTGCCGCACCACAGGATCCCATGTAATGACCACCAATCAAAACCACTTATTACTCAAACAAAACATATACATGTACCTGCGTCATTAAAACTTGAATTCAAAGTTGTATTCATAGATCAAATGTCTGATCTAATCTTTAAAAGACATCATGCAGGTTCTTATACTTGTGTGCCATCCAGCTCAAAGAGAACGAATCGCCATGCAACCGCGATAGGGAATGTCTAGCTCAAGAACAGGAAATAATACATGCATGGGTACTCAGTTTTATTGAAATAGGCCTATAAAGCTTCTTGGTTAAAAATAAAGTTTCCCTCGTTATAAATGTGAAATTGAATCGAGACTTCGAGTGTAACTGCGTGACAGCAATTACCATACTTGACGGGAAAACCTTTTAAATGTGATTACAAATCTCATTGTAAAGTTCCACATTATGACATTCTTATGCGTCAAGTTACATTAAAGGTAGCTACCTTCGTCCATTATAACATTTCGCTTACAGTGTTTGACTGATCTGTAAGCGGCAAGTGAACCACCCAAGAAAAGGGAAACGTGGAACAGCATATCGAAAAGTCCAGTTTAGGGAAAGCTCATTTCAACCTGAACGTTTTATCCCTTGAACAACATCAAAATTCTTTTCATAAATAATAATTATGGTAATTTGATATGGTATAATAAAAGATATCAAAATTTTGAAAAGCCAAACACAAGTGTACAGTTTATATGAAACCAGGTTTTTAACATTTTAAACACATGGGATAAAATTTCTCTCATTTTGTAAAGACACACCTTGACATACGTTAGGAAACACGTACCAATGTCCAACAAAACTTAAAAAGTAACAGAAAAAATACACTGCTTCATAAGCAGTCGTCTTCGTCCACTGAACATTAAACACGTGTTTGAGTGTTCTCTGACTAAACTTGCGGATGACTTACACAACAAAAATGACTTCCATTGTTCATAATTACTATTTATACGCTTGTGACAAAACGAATCGACATAACGGTTGCCAAATGTTGATAGGAAAATAAAAGACAATAGGTACTTAATACACTGTCAAGCAATTTCTTAGACAAACATAGAGGTTTCAACGTCATTCTTAATTTCCTTTCTAACATATTAAGTTAAACCTTTTGATACCAGTTAATTGGCATACTACAATTTCACTATAAAATCAAAGCAGAGTTGCAATTCACACAACACAAAAACATTCTAAAGTTCACAGCCAATATTAAGACCAAAATGTCAAGAAATCAAAATGCTACTTCTACTTGTTGACACATTCTTGCCTTCTATATGATCCAAATATTACATGGTAAAATTAGAAACTTCACGTATTACAGTTACATAGGCCTGGTTTTATTTTAGATTGCAATCATTAAGTCAAAAACACCTCAGGATATCCTAAATGAAAGGTTTAACTGCATCATTTTTTTTCTGACTTCATATCCTTTCTGTTTTGTGACAATATGTACAATTATTGTGCATATTATTTTGGAAAATTCGCTTAATTTTGTCGCTTGATCTTTAACATGCATTTAACATGCACAAAAACATAATTTGAAAGTTTGCACTATTTTAAAAAGGTGAAAAATAGAAAATTGAAACCAACAATGCTATCGATACCGATGCATTAATTGCATCCATATATGTAACCACAGATTGTGTGAACTTCACGCATTAGCCACTAAGGTTAATATCAACTAGGCGTCTCATAATGTTCACAGATATAACACATATATGTGATTTTGTAACACATATAACACATACAACGCAGTAACACTGTTTCAGATCAAGCACTATGTCTTCTATTCTACTTAAATCCTTTTCTGTTGTAGAGATTATTTGCATAGAAAACAATTCATTCCAACCACAAAAAAATACAAATCCATACAAATCACAGCAAGCAATTTATATTTGTGTTACGTACATGAGGAATGCAATAAATTGTTCAAAAATTAAATG